TCTTCCGCGGGAACGATGGCGAAGGAGGCCGCCGGGAGGGGGGACGCAGTGGCCGCGATCGAGACCACCGGCGCGATGGCCGTCGTCGCGGCGGACGTCCTCACCATGAATTCACGTTCCGGGCAACACCCTCGTCGCGGCCGCTGCTGATGGCCAAAAGAGAGACGACGCCTGATTTTATGGGTGGTCCGGACAGCGACGCGCCTGCGAAGAAGTTCATGGCCCCCGAAGACCTGACGGATAGCGACGAGGCGGAGATGGACGTGTCTACCCCTACTACTGCAGACGAACAGGATAACGACGACGGCACCGCGCAGCCCCCACGCAAGAAACGGGCCATCGAACGCGACTCCGAAGCTGCTGCGCCGCCTGCACCAAAGTGGTCCAACCCAGATCCTTACACTGTGCTGCCGCCAGAAGAAGAAAGGCAAGGGAAGAGACGAGACTTTGTCAAGCTGATCCGCAAGGCCAGAATCACCCCTGCTGTCACATCGACTCCGGAGGTTAGCAGCAACCCTGCAGTGACGAATGATGACTTTATCTCCCTGGGTGTGGATGAGCCGGATAATAGGCCCCCTGAAGGTGCCCCCAGTGGCCCCAGAGCTGCAGAGCTGGAGCGGAGTGATTCTGCGCTTGGGAACCGCAAGAGGAATCGAGATGATGAGATTACAGGCCCTGCTGTCAGGCGTGGGAAGAAGGGCTCCAGATTCTTCAACCTGGATGGGTCACCACTGGATATTTGGAAACCGCTCGATGGCCAGGATCCAACACCTTGGTTCGACCGGTCCAGTGCAGCTTTCCATATAGGAACCATGTCAGTACTGGAGCTCCCATATTATTATTATTATTATTATTATTATTATTACTCTTGTCTCTATGATGATGCTGATGTTATCTAGGCTACACAAGGAGATACTGGACTTCTACCACTGGGTAAAACCTACAGAGTATGAAGACATTGTCAGACGAGATCTTATATCCAGACTTCAGGCATGCTTTGGGCAAAGGTTCTATGGTGCAAAACTATACGCCTTTGGATCGTTTGCATCAGGTCTCTATCTCCCTACAGCAGATATGGATCTTGTTCTTCTCTCTCGCCAGTTCATGTCCTCAAATAGAAAGTACATCTGTCAGAAAGTCCGGGAAATATACAGCTTTGCTGAATATATCCGCGGACAGGGACTTGCCGTGCCCGGATCAATTGAAACAATTGCCCATGCGCGTGTTCCCATCATCAAGTTCGTGGATGCTCTCACTGGTCTAAAAGTAGACCTATCCTTCGATAACAGCAGTGGCCTGGCAGCCATTGATACGTTCAAAGCTTGGAAGCAAGAATATCCCGCTATGCCCGTCATAGCTTCCATCATTAAACATTTCCTTTTGATTCGAGGACTCAACGACGTGGCCACTGGCGGGTTGGGTGGTTTCTCAATCATATGTTTGGTCACAAGCATACTACAGCATTCACCCCGTGGAGTCGGAGAGCCAAACCTGGGCTCTGTTCTCATTGACTTCTTTGAAATGTATGGCTCTAGGTTTGATGCTGGCGCCGTGGGTATACAGTTTGATCCCCCAGGTTATTTCAACAAGGTACACCACACCCCCATCGTTTCCCCCTCTAAATTTGCCTGTTCTATTGGGTTATTAATTTGATCGAAAATCAGGCTGCGCGTGGCATATATAACGCAAACAAAGGGACTAGGCTGTCAATAATTGACCCCAATAACCCGGATAATGACATCTCGGGTGGAACCAAAGAGATTCCACTTATCTTTCTAACATTCTATGATGCATACCGATCGCTCAAGGAGAGCGTATATGCCGCTTCATGCAGACCACGTCACTCCCCAAGCAGCTTGCTTGGAACAATAATAGGCGGAAACTATGATGCATATGAGGAGCAGAGAAAGCATCTGCGTGATTTCTTCCTTAGTGAACGTAGGTTTGCTGGGTATCATGCCACCGTCGGGTTGGGTAGTCCCCCACCGCCTCCTCCACTGTCCTCTCCTTCTCCTCCACCCCCTCCGCCACATACTGAATAGTTCTGGCATCTACATTCATCATTCCCCGGTCGTGGGAGCATCGAATCAGCTTTTCTCTTTGTCCTTGATATCCAAACGTTGTTGCCTTTCTCAAGTCAGCGCACACGGTTTTTACTCAGCTAGACTTCCTTTCTAATGCTCGTAAGTATGGACACACCCCTCGTGTTGCAAGATTCAATCTTGCGAGAGCCAACCGGCATCGAATTACACTGAATTAATCGGTGTTACCCAAGAGCATCATTCTTCTGCATTCTCTGGCTCCTAGCCTGCATCTTCGGTGTACCATTATTCCTTTTTATTGCCATTGTCATTATCATTGGAGGCTTGCTAAAACGGAGGATAAGGGAGTTTATTTCCTGGAATGGAGTGCGGCAAGTGTCTATGGCAATTGATTCTAATCACTCTATATAAATTATGTACAATATGATTAAACGAATAACTCCTTCACCACTGCAGTGGTGGGAAAGAAGGCTGGCGCCAACAAGCAAATCCAGGGCAATAATATGCGTGTAGATCACAGGGTAATCCAAGTAAAAGTCAGAGTCCCGAGCGAGAGTTTCAATCCTCAATTGGTGGTGGGTGTTCAGGTATAGGGGTGTTGACATAGTCAGCGTCCGGACTCGCCCATGCAAAATCAACCCATTTGGCCCCCAGGATATCCCGGACGCCCTTTGTTAGGGTTTGAATCCGCTGGCTCTCCGGAAGTTTCTGGTCCTTGTTCAACACAACGTGCCCTTTCCTGCACTGTGGATTGATACTCTCGGAAGAGAGGGAGTCCAGAATCACTTTCCACACCCGCATCGTCTCCTCCAGCTCAGCGATATTGCTTACCCCCATCACGCTGCCTCCAAGCCTGCGAGGACTCGTGGTGCTATTGGTACTGGTGCCGTTTGTCTGGTCACCAGAAGGCAGCCCTGATGCACCAACTGCAGCACCCACATGCAGCCAGTTCTCAAGCGCATATCGAATGGCAACAACCTCAATCTTCTCGCCTTGTTCTTCGGTCCAAAGACTCGCTTTGTGAATTGCCTCACGTAGCTCGTTGGGAGCAGGATGGAAATCTCCCATGCTCCCGATAGGCACACCGTTGCGTCTCAGCAGCCCCATCCCCAAGGGTGAGGCATTAAGTACGCAGTCCACACCAGCTGCAATCAGGCGTTCAAGCCCCTTCGTTGCCAAGAGGGTGTTCTGCAGCGTGAAATTCGCGTAGGACATGACGATATCTATCGGCTCGCCCGTCTTTTCCAGAATCATTTCAGCCAGAGAACAGAGCACGTCGACCGGGTAGCCCGATATCCCAACGTAATGTATCGTCCCCTCCGAGTCACGGATTCTTCGTAGCTCTTGGACAGCCCCCAGCACTTCCTCTGGTGTAACGAACTCGACATCATGGCAGTAGACGACGTCTAGGTAGGCAGTGCCTAGGCGCGACAGGCTTCGTTTGATACTGCGTCTGATCCATGCTGGCGAGTAATCGAAGGTTGATGCGGCTATCCGGCCCACTTTGGTGAGCAACCTGTAGGAGCTTCTGGGGTAGTTCTCCCGGACAAACTGGGTGGACAGGGCTCTTCCAAGAAGTTCTTCTGCCGGACCATAGTAGGGAGAAGTATCAAAGGCGCAAATCCCAGCTGAGAGAGCACGGTGGACAAGCTCGGTGGTCGGAAGCTCGTAGGGGTTGGCATTGTACTGGCCGTTGAAAGTAGCCGTTCCCATGATAAGAGGTGGCAGGTCGCTGGAGACCGGGAGATACGGTCCCCCCATGGCGTCTAAAATATGTGCTGTAATGGGTATTTTACCGGTATATATGTATATATACGCTGCTTTATATAACCTGGCTCGTGGTCGTTCTTTATGGGCGGCTGTGTGGGAGGATGGCGGGGTGATTGATAAGATGCTGATTAGATAGAGAAGAGGGAGGATATAACTGCTCCCATGGTGTTTATATATGCGCCCAATAATGAATCATGGACATGCATGCATCTCGAAGCCTTATCATGAAAGGATTTGGAATCAATAAAGCTTGGGGTTTCTTTGATCCATACAGATATCAAAAGAGCCGGCGTGGCGGTTTAAAAAAAAAAAAAAAATTTCGAGCTTAACGCCGAGAAGCTGGAAGTCTCGGCCCGCGGAGTGACGTGACGAAGGGAGTTCAACCCCAGTATATCAGAACGAACAGAACGATGGTTAAAGAGTAGCAGATAAAAAATAACGTGTGTGATATTAGTTGATATTAAGAGGCGCGCTCAAGCAAACCTGCCAGGCAGCATGTTTCATGGCCAGTCAGGGTAAATTAAGTGACATAAATTACATACTCTATATTATCAAGAAGCAACCGTCCGCTTATCGAATGTGAAAAAAGGGAGCTCTACCCCGGTTAATGAAAAAAAGTCTACTCCTTCTTCTTGTCCTTCGCGGGGATGGGGTTGCCCTTCTCATCTACAAGCCCCTTTTCGCGCATGACCCGCAGCGCATCGTGGAGGGGATCAAGTTCGGGGCGTGGTGCTCGGTGGGAGTCAAAGTAGCTATCGGCCCAAGTAAAGTACTGGCCGTAGTTGACGGTGAAGTAGAGATGGTGGAGGGTGTGGTGGGCGGGGCTGTTGATGTATTTCTCGAGCCAATGCCCAGATATCATGTCGCCGTCGTGGATGAAGATTGTCCAGATCTGTACCAGGATGAACATGGTCATATAGAGGTACTTTTGCACGGGGCAGACAAAAACGAAGACACTACAGTAAAACTATTAGAGATGATAATCGAGTCTGGTTGATTGGGCAATGGTGGGAACTTACTGGTATGGCAGCGACTGAACGTATCCGTCGAGAGGGTGGAAGGCGAGAGCAGCCCATGGAGTCGGCACTAGTCACCAAATGTTAGCTAAATCTACCCCGTGTATATCTGCATCATGTAGGAAGCCATACTGATCCATTTGTGATGTGGTTTGTGGATGTATTTGTAGACGCTGGGGTGGTGCTCGAGTCTGTGAATCCAGTAGATCAAGAAGTCGTTCCAGATCATGAACAGCACAACCGAGACACCCATCCACGCCCATCCATAGTCCTCTACTCTGGTATACAAGAGGCTCTTTCCGCGCACCTCGGCCAGGAAAAAGGGGAGTGTGAAAATGTTGATCCAAGGTATAGCCATCATCGAAGACACTATCTCCTGCCGGACCTGGTTCTTGAGGAAGCGCGGATGGTATTCGAGCCGCCGGTCGAAGATGAAGTAGTATGAGAACGAGCTAAAGATCCAGTATAGTAGCGAAGCACCGAGCTGTGTGATTACCAGGATCGAGATGCATTGTCGGAGGATGCTGTCTCGCGGCCATGCTGACACTGGCTGTGAGGATGCGGTACCCTCGGCCGGGACGAAGTAGGCGTACGCTTTATCGAGGACCAAGGGATCCAGGAGATCGAGAGCCACATCCATGGTAGGCTTGTCTGTCGACGGGTTGCTGTGACGTGTTTTGTGCCCTTGAAAGGCTCTTCAGAAGAATTTATTGTCGTATTCTAGGGGGCGGATCCGTGAGGGTTTTTTTTTTCTCCTTGCTTTTAACGAATTATTTCTCTGTGCCGTGGCAACGAACGAAATCAATTAAACCAATCTTGCTCGGGGAATGCAAAAGGAGCGTGATGCTGTCTGTTTCGAAGAGCCCGAAGCACCTAGGGAGCGTAATGGGTAGTACACAGGGCGGATGAGTTGCAGTGACAGGCCCTGACACAGGATGGCGGGTTTAAATGTTGTTGGCTGGCGCAAAGGAAGGCCGGCTAGCTGGATACGCCGGATCACACCACCTCCATCGTGTTATTGTTATTATTGATTTCCCACAGTACTCCAACCGGACCCTCGTATCCTTATTAATTCCATCGCAGGAGGACACTGATTCGAAGGAGAGGAACAAATTAGTCTATCGCGGATGTCAGGGATAGTTGCGGAGCGAGGCAGCTGGTACAGACTATCGTAGCAAGTTGATACGCTGAATCGACCAGATCTGGGCCTATACTAACGCTTAGCTGCCTGGCCAGCTATGGGGAAAGCTGCAAGTCAAGCATAATCAGCTTCCATCTGTATTACCCTTGATATTCCCTTGAATCTTTATCCAAAAATATCTTCTTCTACATCTTATCAAAGTAGCCAAAACATGGAGGGCTAAATGAACCATCCAGTCAGGATTCATATTCAACCTGTCCGAGATGATTCCACTTTGCCAGTTATGATAAAGGTCCTTCTCGGAATGAATACTTTACACACACCTTACTTAGGTAGAGGTAGGAGGAATCTCAAGCACAAGAGGCCTCGAGAGAAGGGCTTCTATAGCAAAGATAGCTAAGGGAAGTATGTAAGTGCCTGCAGGGTAAGCAAAAAGGAGAGCGCCTCTGTAAGAAAAAAGGTGATTAGGTAAGCCAAGTAAAATACATAGAAGGAAGCTTACTAAGTAACGTTTCTTCTCTTGTCCAATAGTAGCTCTTCTTATTTATTAGTAATAACTTTACATAAACAGAATTTAACTTTGGATGTTATAAAATAGAGTTTTGCACTGATGGTCCAATTAGCTCGCCATACAAAAAGCGGCGAAGGATGGCAGAACGTGTTACTGGCTTACATAATATCCAAACCTCGAAAAGGGAAAAAAAAAATCGAAAAAAAGAACAAAAAACACCCAAAAGCTGCGACTTTTTGCTGTCGAGACCAGCTTTTCTATGCCGGACGCCCCTATATCTCGTTTGTCACGGTCGAATGTGGGCTGTGCTATAGCATGAGGCTTGCTGTATCTGCTAATTCTTCGCGATTCCCGATCTTTCGATTTGCTTGACCAGAACCATAAGGAAGACGGAACGTCCTTTGAAGCATCGAACATATTTGCTACAAACGTCGAACAGTTAGCAATTACATAGCAGACAAAGGATGTCCCGGTCAGCGAGCGATGCAACTCGGTTTACGGCCACCGGACCCTACGCCTACTCGAAATCCTCGATGTCTTCCCCCGCTTCGTCGAAATGGTCCGGCCTGAAGGTCAGGTCTTCGCAGCCGTCACAACCATCTCCCGGCCAGGGAACACAAGAGACTCCCAGAGAGAAGGTTGAGCGGCTACGGGCCCAGGCTCGCGCCAATCGCATTGCACAGTCGTTTTCTCCAATGGATAAGATAGTAAATAGCGGAAGGACGTGGGCGGATCGTTTTCACAGGGGGGCGGTTTACTCGCTTATTGCTGCCTCCGGTATGGATAAGCTGATCTCCTGCCATTGACCTTGCACTGTGTAAATGGCCTGTTTGATAGACTGATAAACTGACCTGTTGTGTGTGTTCAGGAATTGCTGGAGTTTTGACCATTTATTCAATGGCATCGTTAATCATGCACAACCGGCGGCAGCGGGAACTATTTATCGAAAAGGAATTGGAGAGTCTCTTAGATGCTAGAAAGGCATATGTTGCCGGAACTGCGACTGCACAACAGATCGAGCTGCTACGGAAAGAAAAGGCCGCGGACGAGGAGAAGCGGATGCGGGATGAGGCGAAGAAGCAGACCATGTTTTATAAGGCCCGGAGCTGGCTCTTCGATGGCCCAGATGCCATAACGACCACCAGCTCAGACACCGAACCACACACCCAGTCACAACAAATACCCGATTTAAGCACAGCCCAGACAGCACCTGCTACGCCTGCCGTGCCTACAGAACCTCAAGGGGGCAAAACGGCCAACACTAACTCCTCGAACTCAAGTTGGTCAAGTTGGATACGCTGGGGAGGGGCCGGTAAATAAAGTGGCTTTTTCTCTGGGTTTTCTTTCGCCTTTGTCAACCTTTCCGACTTTGTTATTCCTCAGAACCCTACTTACTCGCTGCCAGAGTATATCTTAAGCATTCTCCTGTGTATAATAACGAAACCATCTGCTTTTTGTCTCCATTGCTCCACCCTGGGTCGGGTTCGGCAACGGCACACAAAGTTGGCTGTACGATGTGCTAGAGTGTGAAATATTAATATTCTCTTCTTAGCCTACCATTGGACTCTTTCTGGTGCTTGGTTGCATTGCATGGACAGCATAACTTTGGAATTGTTATTACTCTGGTTAATACTGTGCATTGATGCCCACATATTGCTAGGATGTTCTTACAGAAGATCAGCTCTAGTTACAATTGATCTTGACATTCTACTTAATTTCCTGGACTGCTTTTGGTTTACGCAGCAGGTGACTTCACTGCTACATACGTCGGAATACTCGATATATTCTCCATTCTCCGTGCACCACCCCATACAACCATACGCATCGGCTCGACAGCCCCATGGCGGATGACCAGCTGCAGATAAACGGCTCCCACTTGATACGTGCACCCCCGTCGACATATGAACACCGGACTTGACGTGGCAAGGCCTTTCACCTGCAGCCACGCCTATCATTGTGTCATGTTGGCTCCCTGACGTCCATAAACTCCCGCCGTTTAACTAGCTAGCAGGCAACTTCGGGCCGGCCCGAGAAGAACTCAGTCTGGCTGCAGGCCAAATGGATGGTTAACTAGTTAACTATGGAACAGGCGACTCCTGAGGCCAGCATCCTTCCGCTCAATGTTGTCGATGTGCTGGACTCGCCTACGCTGCGCCAGAGTCGACCGCCATGCACCCAACCAGCCATCCTGCGGCTGGCGTCCCAGGGCCGTGGAAAAGGGCCCAAAGGGTCGACCCGACGCTGTGGGCAGGGAAACGCTTAATAATTGGCTCCTCCGCCGGCGAGAAAAGACCAAAGACAATTTCAAGATGCGCTCTTCATGCACTCATCTGGACCCATAACTAGTTGGCCCCCTTGCAATTGCAACAAACAGAGAGACGGCTTGGGAGGCTGCGTGCTGTGAGCAACAAACCTGCATGATATGGCTCCCGGTGGCGTTACTGTCCTTTGATGCACCTTTGCGTCCTGCCGCTGCCGCCGCTGCTGCTGCTTGCGATGGTTCATACCAGACAGCTGTCTGTATGTGTGTCACTGAATAAAGAGGCAGATATAATAACACTGCCCGATCATCCTCGCTTGACTCCGTATATATTATCCCCCCCTCGCTCTTCGTCGCCTTCTCTTCCCTGGTCTGCTTGCTCCTGAAGTTGCTTTTTCCTTCCTTTTCCTGCTTCCTCTAGTTATTATTCTAGAAGAGAAAGCTTCATCTCGCTTATTTTAGCAAGTTATTCACCGTTATTTAAGTATCGTTCTACATAACTCGGAATGGCGGCTGAGGCAGACGATCGATCAGACGGATGCTCCCAGTCGACCATCGAGGCAGACGCCAATGTTGAACAGACGTCAACAATCGCCACTGACTTCGCTTCGGTCGTTTCCACGATCCCAAACTTCGTTTATGAAAACGGACGGCGCTATCAAGGCTACTGTGTAGATCAATACGTGCGTTGTTCCCATGTCGACTGGCTTTCCATACATGATGTCCCTGGCTGGATATGGTTACTTGACTAGATGATCGCTGACTAGTCAAACGCTCTTATTTTGGATACCTTCAGTTCCTCCCCAACGATGAACGGGAACAGGAACGTCTGGATTTTCTTCACCAAATCTTCCGGTTGACCCTCGATGGCGAGCTGTGTTTTACCAAACTCGACAATCCTGAACGCATCCTCGACATTGGCACCGGGACAGGGATATGGGCCATCGAAAGCAAGTCAAGCCCCGTCACCTTTCTCTATCAACCTGACCGAGTTGAATAAAGGGGGTAGTCTATCAAGTCTAACCCTGAGTTCAGTGGCAGAGTTATACCCTTCAGCTGAGGTTATTGGGACAGATATATCGCCCATCCAACCAAGTTGGTGAGTTGAAGACGTAGCCTCCTATGTTCCCTCCTTGCTTCTGGAGCATGAGGGCTGATGTCTATCCGCAGGCGACCCGACAATGTTGAATTCATGATGGACGATGCCGAGCAGGACTGGACTCTTCCTGAGTCCTCATTTGATTTCATCCACATCCGTACGCTTGGGGGAAGTGTGTCAGATTGGCCACGGCTAATGGGACAATGTTACAAGTAAGAAGTATCGTACACATCACTTCATCTTTTATCAGTTCTAACTCGGCGGCTTAGACGACTAAAACCCGGTGGCCGGATAGAAGTATCAGAAGCTCGTGCTCACTTTTGTTGTGACGATGACACATTCCCCGAAGACTCGAAGACTAGACATTGGCTTGTATGTCTTTTTCTTTGTCATTATATCCATTGAACTTTCAATTAACCTCCTTGATAGAACGAATTTGATCGCATCTCCCACTCTTGTGGGCGTGAGTTTGATGTATTCCCATTTTTTGCTGGCTGGCTTCGAGATGGAGGGCTCATCGAGGTCGAGGAGACGGAAAAAGTCATGCCCCTGGGAACCTGGCCCAAGGACAAGAAGCTGAAGATGAGGGGCCGCTATTTCATGGCACAGTTCCTGGGCCATGCAATGGAGTCCTACAGCACGTCGCTGTTCACTCGCGTTGGCGGCTGGAGTGCCGATGATCTCTGGAAGCTCCTCAATAATGTGACTGAGGAGGTCAGGTCTAATAAGATGCATATATATTCCCACTTGTATGTTCATCTCCGTCTTCTAGCCCATCATGAGGTGCTCGTGATATTAACCCGTCTCCTGTCTATAGCTCATTTGCCATTGCAAAGAAACCAGAGCGAGCTTAAATTTGTCTCGCATTCGTAGTCATTTGGAGTGGCTTCCTCATATCTCGTCTATTCCCCATTAACGACTCCATCTTCAGTGTAACTCTAACCACAATTACGACCCCTTTCTTTGGTTTTCACTCATTTCAATTGTCTTTTCTCTTCATCAATTAGCGTACGGGGCTTGTCTTAGTGTATATTTAAAGGGGCACCTATAAATTTTATTGATTTACTTTTAACGTGGCATCGTCAGCTTCTATTAAAACATCGCTTTATAGCATACGTCTGCCCCTGCACCCTTCTTTAGTTAGCAGCCCCCGTAGCTTCCCCATATATAATAAGCCATTCTATACCGATGAACGAACATATGATGCTACTTCATCTAGAGAGCCAACGACCATATCGGGACCCATCTTCTGGCACACATCCTGATCTCCAAACCCGTACTGGCACCAGCATGCGCGACAGCCGATGTTCTTCGCAAACTGGATATCCGCCACCGTATCCCCGATGACTAGCACTTTGCCAACATCGAGGCTGGTAATCCCATATCGGCTCTTGAGCGTGGGTATCAGTATATCCGTAAAATTAGCCGGGTCAGGCTTCTTCTTTGCTCCAGGCGTGCTGTCTCCTATTATCAAATCCTCAGGCACATATCCGCCCATACCGTTCCGTTCTAGCGCCGTCTTGACAGCACCAACTCCCTTATTGCTCACAATGGACATCGGTATGCCAGATTCTTTGAGGGTTTGCAGCAGTTTCTGGGCTCCTGGGAAGGCTTTAATGAGCTTTTGGCCGTGGGTGGCATAAACCTCTCGATATTTGGCTGTCCATTCATCCGCTGCCGCCGTGTAGGCTTCGATATTGGGATGCAGAGACCGGAATGTGTCTGACAGGCCTGTCCCACGGGAGATCAGAGAGTGGATGTCTGACCGAAGCGGGACATGGGCTGGAAGTAAAGCCTCGAAGGTGAGCCTGATAGACTGTTCAATCGACTCATGGGTGTCGACCAGCGTCCCGTCGAAGTCGAAGATTACCAGGCTGGTCATACTGGTTTAGGATGTACAGAAAGTTTTCCCTTTGGGTTACAGAGTACGCCTTTCTTCCTTCTTAACGATCAACAGACCGAGTTTGTGCGCGTTGGGCAGCGGTGGTGACTCGACACAGTTAGTGGTGGAGCTGGCGGCGTCGAAGCGAAGAGGAAATAAAACTCCGGAGTTTGACTTGAAGCCCCTTGATCCCTGTCCTGGCCAGTTAGTCAAGCATCTCAACCGGTCATATTTGGTCGTCGTCATCAGCGTCAAGAAAAAAATATCATCCCCATCTCGAGCCAGTGAGACAGTCAAGATATTGGCACCAGGGCCTCAAACACAGCAATGAGAATAATTTCTTTCCCGTACAACCGACATAACTAGTTAAGGGGTTTGACGCACAGTTCGCATGGCTTCGACCTCTCGCCGTAAGTTAGTTTATCACGGAGTCACAGGGCATCATGTCTAACTAAAGACAACTCCCGGGCTTAGATTCGAGGCTGATATCTACGATGATATCAAGCAAGAAGAATTACATCCCTGAAAGGCCCGTAAACGTCACTTCACAGGCCGATTGACCGGTGACATGACCCAGAAAGGCATCGAAGTGCATGCTCAACAGCCACCCTCCATATCTAATGGCCCTGCAAACCCCACGTTGACCAGGAATGCAGGAATCCCGTAACCCCTAGAAAAGGAGAGGATAGACGCCCGTGAAGAACTATTCGGAGAAGCTAGGGGGGAATTGTTCATATATCATTAGGAGAACAGGATGCATCTCTCCGTCCCCCTAGACCTCCACCATCGGGGAGAATGACAGCATGGGAAGGCGTCCGAATGTACTCCGTAGTTATATAAAGTAACTCCGTCTCGATCATCATCGGAGGACAGACTCTGCTAGTCGGCTCACTCCGGGAAAAATTTCGAGCTTCCTTGGATAGTATGAACGGCGATTATCATTTCATGGGAATTGCAGATCCAAACACATCACATATCATCAGACTCTCGTAACATAAAAACTGTATGGCTAGCTAATCCCGAGGCTTAGCGAGTGACAATCGCTGCTGTCAATGCGACCTCGAACATGACAGGCGCTGAATGATGTGCGGAGCGCATGGCCAACGAGCGTCTCTTGCGTGCAGGTCCGTCTGTTGATGCCGGACGAGTCGAGTCGCGGTACCGACGTCTCCTGTCGACAGCACCCCTGGCATGGCTGCTAGTAACCCATGGCTTCATGGGCTAAAATGGTCAAATGGTCTCATGGTCTCAGCCTGGCTGGTCTAGAAGTGCGGAGTGGCCTGGTCGATCGCCTTCATCCGCTCATATTAGCTGTGCCGTCCCATATCCAATCGAAGTGGCCTCCTCTCCAGGATAACGCATGGAAGAGACGGCCTTTCTGAGCAAGTATCTGCAGTTCTCATCTCCCTCTGGACAGCATCCCCGACCCCGTCAACAGTGATGCCATCTCGCCGACTCTCTTTCTCGCAGCGTCCCCTTTATGCGAGTCATCGACCGGCGTCTCATTGTCTCGAAAGAGAGTCGGCCGTTAGTCACGGAGTAGTATTGCTCCATAGTTAACTAGTTGGTGTTAACGAGTTAACTAGCTAAAAAAAGAGAGAAGCGAACACTCGCCTCCACCCCGTCTGACCATGAACCAGACATCAAGAAGCTCTCGATAGAAGTGGGCTGGCTATGGTGATTGGGCCGTTGCCTGTCTGTCCCGTCCCTTCGCGACTCCAGAACAATGGGGAATTTGATAGGAGCTGATCAGCCACGACTTGAAACAGCAGACGGACGTGCCTCGGGTCAACGCTGGTGTCGACTGGCCGTATCCCTGTAGAGACATCCCTGCTGGGCCAGGGGGGAAAGCTGCCGCAAGAGACCAACTCGGGCCTTTTGCTGTGCCTGCTCACTTCCTGCTCTCCTGTCGTGGTGATCAGCCAAATTACAGCGCCCATCGTGGAGAGACCGAGCAAATGCGGATGGAGAACGTCCTTATACCACACACACACTCTCTCTCTCTATGCCTCTGACGATCCCAAGGCGCATACCCCCGGGAGCCTTGCTCTCTCTCTCTTCCCGTTTGGAACCTTTTCAACGGGCCTTTTACTACTCGCGGGGAGACTTCTGGCTCGTGGCCGTCGCCCATGGATCGAAACAACTCTATATACGCGGGTGGACTCTCTGGATGGTGGACTCAAGCTTTGCCGAGCCAGTTGTGCTTCTTTAGTCCGCCATGGGGAGCGGCCTCAAGCTTTCAAGGAGCCCACGAAACAATGCTTGGTTTCAATTCAGGTATCCTCTTTACCCGCTCTGTCCCCTGGCCAAAATGGTAGGACCGGGGGCGTCTAGCATCAAGTTGCAGAATGGGGCCTCCGCTCTGCCTGCAGTTATGGCAAATGATATCCCTGGTCAGGCTATGGTACCCCAGTCCAAGTCAGTACCTGCTGTACATACGCAATGTCCCATTCCTACACTTTGCTACTGGTTTGAAACGGACCTCCGGTTGGGTTGGTGGATGATTAGCTGATGTAACCTTCCCTCCTGATTGCACAGGGGCCTGGTATGTGTGGACTTGTTCGGGGAGAGAGAATAGAGATGTCATATGCTATGTTTTTCATACCGTGAAGGAGGCGGGTCTCTTCCCGTCCAGAAGATATATAACCTGCTTGTCAACCCTTCAAGATGGAAACATTCTCAGACAGCAAAAACCAACTCTCAATCAGCCCCTAGATTCCCAGTGAATCTTCTACCTTCCTTTGTTCTTTTTTTGAATCACTACCGTTCTTGTCTATACTTTTTTTTATACCGATTATTTCTTCTCCAATTCAGTCAACATGCAAGTCATCGTTGCTCTCGCCGCCCTCGGCTCTCTTGCTGCTCCAGCCCTTGGCTTCTCCATCCCCCGTGGTGTTCCAGTCAGCCAGTCCATGATCGATGTCAAGCTCAGCTCTACCGGTAACTCTATGGTCAAGGCCACCATCACCAACAATGGCAACCGTGCCTTGAACCTCCTGAAGTTCCATACCATCATGGACTCCAACCCAACCCGCAAGGTCTCCATTGAGTCTGAGGGTAAGTGATGATACCGAAGACTCCATCGGGAATTGAATGCTAACATTTTGATAGATGGCAAGGAGATCCAGTTTACCGGAATGATGCCCACATACAAGGAGAAGGATCTCAAGCCAAGCTACTTCATCTTCCTCCCACCAAAGGGAACCGTTGAGCACTCCTTCGACATTGCCAGAACCCACGACCTTTCCCGTGGCGGCAAGTTCACCCTCAAGGCTGAGGGAATGGTCCCAATTGCCGAGGAGAACGGCACCGAAATCACTGGTGCTGCTAAGTACCACTCCAACGAGCTTCACATGACCATCGACGGCGAGAAGGCCGCCTCCGTTGAGAATGCCTTTGGCATTGTCAAGCGTGGACCTCTCACCAGAATCAACAAGCGCACCAGCATCGACATGCAGTCCTGCGGCAACAACCAGGAGCTCCAGGCTTTGACTGCTGCCCTCAAAGCCTCTGCTCAGCTTTCCAGCATGTCTGCCCAGGCCGTTAGCCAGAACCAGGACAAGTACATGGAATACTTCAAGGACCCTCAGTACATGCAGACCGTCCAGAGCCGTTTCCAGGCCGTTGCTCAGGAGTCTAGCTCCACCACCGGTGGTGGCACTACCTACCACTGCTCCGACACCATGGGTGGCTGCGAGGAAGGTGTCCTCGCTTACACTCTCCCATCCCAGAACGAGGTCTTCAACTGCCCAATCTACTACAGCGATCTCCCACCACTCAGCAACGAGTGCCACGCCCAGGACCAGGCTACCACCACCCTCCACGAGCTTACCCACAACCCTGCTGTCCAGGAGCCATTCTGCGAGGACAACGGCTACGGATATGAGCGTGCCACCGCCCTCTCTGCTGAGAAAGCTGTCCAGAACGCTGACAGCTACGCTCTCTTCGCTAACGGTAAGCTCAATCTTATTA